CGAAAAGTTCTTTCTGCTTCATGACATATTTCTACTATTGATAATACGATACGATAATAATAAGCGTTTTATGCACAACCTGGTTTGTCCTACGCACATGCGCAGAAGTATGAAACAACATGTRCARCGCAGCCAYCGATTACCGCGGGAACTACTAGCTTGCTCCGTCTATGAGTATAAGGTCTATGCTGTAGACAGCTGATTGGATGGTAGGAGGTTCAAAACCATAGACAAGTATATTATAAACCATTGAGTAAGACTTACTCTGATCAAACCGTTCACCCATCATCACAAAACGAACAGTACAAAATAGCATTAATTATGTATCTATAAACATTTAAAACATTTGCAAAATATTTTTTTTTCTCTGACGAACCCTCCCACCATTTCAATTCCCTTCTAAGCAACATGGGAATAATAGTCAACTTTCACATAGCGCCAAGAGATTAGTTTTATTTGTTTGCGACAGTGTACTGTGTAGGAGTAATGGGAATATCATTCCACAATTATGCTTGCATAGCAATTAACTATTTTTTCAAATCCATTTTCCAAGAAGACCATAAACAGTTATTTAATTTGGCATTTATTGAGTACAGTCCGCCTGTTCCCATTCGGAACATTTGTTCACATTTCAAAAATCAAACAGCATTAATGTTAAAACAATACAAAAACGCTCAAATATTCAAAATATAAATTTACCACGATATAATAGTTGTCACGAGTTAAATAGCAGTGATGATTCTTTGTATAATATATGTTTCTCATTTTTTGTAAAATTTATTGTTCTCATGGACAATATTAAATAAAAATAATTTATATTTATACAAATCATAATTCTTGATTTATGATGGAAAGAATATAGCCATCAACAACAGCATTTTGTGCTGATACTCTGGCTAAATAATCCAAACTTAATATTTAAAATTTACAAAATGTAACATTAAAGGTGTAATAATTTCACTGAGAACATCATACCTGATATCCAGATATTGGTGAAAAATGTAACTACCAATAAAAATTTTAAAGATCACATTTGCCGTGAAAACCACCAACAGGAACAAAATAGGAGATACTTAAATGTCTTTTCAAGGATGTAATTGATCTTGATGAGATTTCTGAAGTTCTGTTATATTATCAGCATTTAGTGTGCCGAAGAGTTATGAAAAAATTAACTACAATGATAAGTGGTGGACTGGTGATTTGCATGATTTTACTCAATTTAAATTTAGAAAAGTTGTTCCTAAACAATAAACTTTTTAATACCTAGGCTTTTAGGTATTATTCATAAAGGTAAGTCACATAAAACATGTTCTTATACAATAATTTTAAGTTATTCTTTAATTAAAGTTTAAATACATTGGGATGGTTGGTCAAAATAAAAGTCATATAAATTAAATATTACAAATGATTACAACCAATGGTGTTGTCATTTTATATAAAAACAGGTACTTTAAAATTTAATTAAATGATAGATTTTCTAGAATTTTTTTTTGCAGAAGTTTTAGTGAATTTATAAAATGGATTAATACGGTTTGCATCTGGCGTCAATTTCAAAACTCCTTGAACTGGCTGTTTGGTAGCATCATGTGGATTTTGAGGTTTAGTCACTAATGATGTTCTATACTCCATAAACTCTGGAAAAAAAATATTAAAATAATTCACTATCGATTCAATTATAAGCAATAACGATGAAACAAACATTTTTTACCTTGCTCAACATTGTTTTTCAATTGAAATTCAACTCTTTTCTTAGCAGAATCAGTTTTAATTGACAGCCTTGAACTTTTTCTAGGAGTTCCAAAACCATCCTCAAAAGCTTCACTACGCTATGATAAACAAAAATAATGAATGCAATTTAATTTTAAGCAACAACATAGGTATAGTCTGCAACRTGAAAAATGGCCTCTGATCATCATAAACTTAATGGCCGTTGTACCTCAATGATTCAAAATAAAGCGTCTTACAGCAACTAACGCACTATGTTTGATAATAAAAGGTAAAGGTAGGCTGAGCGCGTTGTGGTACTTAAGAGGCACTTTTCATGATGCGTACTATAATTATTTTAACTTACCACTTTTTCAAGTGCCTTATTTGAAATTTCTTCAGGTTTTAACATACTTATTTCTTCTCCTGCAATTGTCTTCCTACGTTTTTGTGATGCTTTAGTTACTGAAGTTTCTTTTGCTTTTCTTTTAGGTGTACCTTCATTTTGTCCATCAGGTTTTTTCTTGGGAATTATAATTGTTCTTCGTCGTAATACCCTTTGTTCAGGAGTAGGGCTTTTAGGGCTTTTAGGGCTCTTGGAACTCTTATCTGGTGTACTCACAGATGTTAATGAAACGCGTTTTTCTACTTGAACAGTTTCGTTACTTTTATCTTTTTTAGATGCAGAACCATCATTGTCAGCAGAAACTGACCAACTAGTGTTTACGATATTAGGTGAAGAAATCTTATCAAAGGGAGAGTTTGGTTTTTGAATATTCTTTTTATTTGGTTCATTAGCAATATTTGATACTAGAGATTTGCTTTTACTCAATTTCAGTTTTTCATCACTGCACACACTCCAGCTTTCATTGAGATTTGAATTTATTTTAATTTCATCAGAACGCCGTTTTAATTTGGACATAACTAAATCATCAGTTTGATTTTTTTCCTCAATTCCACTATCCGGTGCAAGACTTTTATCATTTAAAGGTGATGCATTTACTGCTGGTGATGCTTTGGCAGACTCAATGCATTTTTTAACCTTTTTAGACACAGACTCTTCATTGTCTGTTGATACCGACCAACTATTGTTCTGACTCGCATTCAAAGCATTAGGTGTACCAATGAGAGGAGAATTTTGTTTCAGAATATTTTTTTTACTAGATCCATCATTAATTTTTGAAATTGGACTTTTACTTTTGCGTTTATTAGAATTACTTTCTTTTAAAGATGAATCAACTGTTAAAGATTTGAAATTTGGGGTTAAAGAAACCTTTTTCTGAACTTTAGTTGGTGTTTTTTCTGTAGTCTCTGAAACTTCAACATTAAATCCTGCAGGTACCAGTAGTGGTGGTTCATCATCATTACCAGACACAGTGTTAGAGTCGTCAGTTTTTGTTTCATCTGATACTGTCCAAGATCCATTTAAATTGAAATTCTCTTTTAATGCATTGACATTATCAAATTTTCTTACTTTCCACATAGATTTTCCAATTTTTCCACGTTCTACTACTATTTCACCCATCTTATTAAGTTCTTTAAGACTTTTAAGGTCATTAACTTCACGGCCACTTTTTTTAATCTTAGAATCAACCATTTCTAACTTTTTAACTCCTTCTTTTACCATTTTAGATAAATATTTTTTCTTTTTTCGCTTTAATACTTGACTATTTAGTTTCAAGTCTTTTGGCTTATATGGTAGTATACCATCTCCCAAACGATTATACCATTTTACTAATTTAGTTATTTCCAATAAACATTTTCTAGTACAATCAACTTCAGTCACATATTTATTCAAAATCTTTGCTACATCTTTAGGATTGAACTTGATACGAGGTATTTCAACACTTACATTTCCAGCACGAGGATCTAATGGACTGTCATTTACTTCATTGGAATCACCATCTGCTATATCACCTTCAACCAATTCTAAGTCATTATAAGATTTGCCTGGTTTACCCATCTAAAATATAAAATACTGGAATTTAAGTATATTGTGAAACTACAATAATATAGTTACATATTAACTGTAGATTCATTTAAATATATGATTTGATATAAATAGATTGAAATTCTAACGAAAAATTAAAAATGTTCTAATAATATATCTGCCTTATTTCTTAAATCAA